CAATCATGATATAAGCTCTATATTCACAATATAAGCAATTTTACAGTCACAATGATTGTAATTATCATTATATAATTAGTTACCTATTATTTTCTCTTTTCTTAGTCTTAATAATCAGTGTACCAAATCCTTTCTTGGAAAGATATGAATCACAACTACTAACTTCAGAATGTAGTTATTATATCAAGCTTAAATTACAGTTTCATTTATTTTAATATTTACATATTTAATATTTTGATTGCTGATTCTGGTAATACAGCTGTTTCAGGCTGACTATAAAATATGCTGAAAAAATCCAAATGCTTTCTACTGCATAGTTTAGATCCATAACTACAATTTATTAACATTATACTAAAATAAAATGAAGGAGAATGAAATTTATACCTTTGCAGGTGTATGTATCCAGATGGCTGGGTTGAATAAAATGTGATCACAAAGCTGCTTTAGCAAAGGTGCTCCATGAGATAAACCATCAAGGTATTTTGCAAAGGATAAAAATTGCTCCAGGACAGCTCTAGTTATATGAACTCTTGATGACTAAAGAAAAAAAAAGATTTTCAAGCTAAAAATATCCAGAATATCAAATTTTAAGATTGCTGACTTACAATAAGTACGTATGAATTTTTCATATGCCATACCTAATAATTTAAATACAGAACTATATATTTCCTTTGCTCTCCAAAATTTAATTATATTCAGAAACGTAAAATTTTAAGATAATTTTCTGAATGACAGTTTGTTACCTGAAGCCCTTCCCATAACAACTGCAGATAAGTAACTCAGGTTAAATAATGCCACTCTCAAAGCAAACTAAAGAAATAAAATAAGTTATGAATAAAAATGGTTTCAACCCATTTTTGTATAAATTGACTAAAGAAGAGATCTCAAAGGAAATTATAATAGAATAAAATTAATTATCATGATCACACACACACAGGATACTGGGAAAGAGAAGTGCTTTCACGAGATCCAAACCAACGGGCAAATAAATTGACTCCACCATTCCACTGAATCCTTTCTTTATAAAATCACAAATGAGTTGCACATGGACAAATGCCATGCATCTTACTCAGCATAAACCTTTCAACCTAGCCATGGTATATGAAAAGCAAATCTTACTTTCCTGGAAATACTGTCCCTTTTGGCTTTCATGACCCTCAGATTACTCCCCAGTGCCCTTTGCTTAAAAGATGGGAACAGCTGAAACTTACTTATTTGGCTTCTCTTTTCCATAAAATCATTCTCTCTAGATGATACCTTATGCTTTCACAGCTTCATAGAACAATACCTCTATGCTAAACCTCCCATCAAGATTTTCAACTGCCATCACCAATACATAACCTACTACCAACGCTATTTAGATAAATGACAGACCTTCCAAAATTCAAACCAAACCTTAAAGCCGCACTGTACAATACAGAAGCCACTAGTCATGTGTAGCTACTAAGCCCTTGAAATGTGGCTAGTCCTAGGTGATAAATGTTATAAATATGTATAGACTGGATTTTGAAGATTTAGAATAAAAAATAATGCAAAATATCTTTTATAATTTTTAATTGAGTATATGTTGAAGTGATAAAATTTAGGATATACAAGGTTAAATAATATACATTATTAAAATTAATTTCATTGGCTATGTTTTACTAGAAATTTTTAAATAACAAACTGAGGGTTGCTGGAGTGGTGGGGGGTGGGAGGGATGGGGTGGCTGGGTGATAGACATTGGGGAGAGTATGTGCTACGGTGAGCACTGTGAATTGTGTAAGACTGTTTAATCACAAACCTGTACCTCTGAAACAAATAATACATTATATGTTAAAAAAGAAGATAGTAGGAAGGGAAAAATGAAGGGGGGGAATCGGAGGGGGAGATGAACCATGAGAGACAATGGACTCCGAGAAACAAACTGAGGGTTCTAGAGGGCAGAGGGTGGCGGGATGGGTTAGCCTGGTGATGGGTATTAAAGAGGGCACGTTCTGCATGGAGCACTAGGTGTTATACGCAAACAATGAATCATGGAACACTACATCAAAAACTAATGATGTAATGTATGGTGATTAACATAATAAAATTAAAAAAATTACATATGAGGCTTGCATTATATTTTGGCTGGAAAATGCCACCTTAAGAGTATAATTTCAGATGAAAATATTATAGAGGAAATGCTGTTCTTTAAAAGCCAATAATTCTAATTCAAATGTCAAAAATATATCTTACTATACAAATCTTTTTTTCCTCATCAAGTGATCCTTTTTGATCCTCCCTAGGATAAAGAACCATCTACCACTCAACCCCAGAGCACAGGTCACATCACACCTTTCTCTCCATTATCCACTGACTGAAGTCCAAGTATCATTATGGGATAGTTTAGGTCTAAAGGGACTAAACTGTCTTAGCAATTTTACTTCCCATATGGTTTACTTAACAAGGGCAGCTCAATAAATTTGACATAAGCATGCCGTGCATTTCACACTTCTACACAAGGGGCCACAAACTCATATGATTACAATATTCAAACAATTAACAATGTATGCATTTAGGGTAGGAGACAATAATGAGTAGTGAGAACTGCCCAAGGTACCTAAAGGAAATAAAATTCATTACTAGAAAACTTTTCATTGAGCCAAACAAAATATTTCTTTGGGTCAATTTTGCCTACACAACGTGAGTTTGCTTCATCTGCTTTCTCTACCAGGCTCCCTCAACTTGTAAAACGCTTGCATCCATTTCCTTTACTTAAAGGCAGATTCAGTACTTTTCATTTAGTCATACATAGGGTACTTACTATTCACCAGGGACTCTCCTTGGAACTGTGGAAAGAACAGTTATTAACAAAACTGAAAAAGCCTTGCCCTCACAGAACTTAAATTCTAAGGGAGGAGAAGACAGGGACAAATAATAACATAAAAAAAAATATGTAACAAGTTAGATGTCACTAAGTGCATGAAAAAACACAGAGGATAGCAAATTTATGGAAAAGTGATTAACAAGAGGTTTTACTGAGTAGGGGGCAATCAGTTTGAAGTACGATAAGGCTCCAATGATTTTTTATTACTACGCTTATGTTTGACAAAACACCAGTGGTGAGTAGATAAGCAATAGTCCTACAAAATTCAAATCAAGCCTAGGAGCAGAACTTCAGATGAAAATTTTATAAGAAGATATAAAAATGATCCTAACAAGTAGCTGAATTATTAAAGGGGGGGAAGGTGGAAGACAAAAGCAAATAAATCTTTAAGAAAAGAGAAAAATCAAAGTTTGAGCACTCACTTTAAAGGAACTTTAATGAAAAGAATACAATACTTCTAAATTCTAGAACATTTTATTCATAGATAGGTGAATAAAATTAAAACAAGATCAATGGTTATATAAAGCTTTAGCCCTTCCTTTACTAGCTATAATTTCACATAGTTTATTATTATAATAATAATATAATATATTTAACATATAATAATAGAGAATAGAGAATTTCACATAGTTTATAATTATTATAAATATATTTTTATTCAGTAATAATGATTTCAGGAACATTAGAAGAGTCAGATCCTGTTTCTAGATAAACATTTTCAGAGATCAGATTTTATCCTATAAAATCATCATGTGCTGGGGCGTCTGGGTGGCTCAGTTGGTTAGGCATCTGCCTTAGGCTCAGGTCATGATCCCAGAGTCCTGGGAGCCCTGGATCGGGCTCCCTGCTCAGCGGGGAGCCTGCTTCTCCCTCTCCCTCTGCCTGCCACTCCCCCTGCTTGTGCTCTCTGTCAAATAAATAAATAAATCTTTAAAAAATAAAAATAAAAAAATTAAATTGTCATGTGTTTATAAAGAATACTAAAGAAATATAAAATCAGATTGGCCATTATGAACATATTCATTTGAGGAAGTAATTCATATTTTGAAAACAAGTTTTTAACTTGCTCTGTTATAAAAAGATACGCTGGAAGCATCACATGAGGCCTTCCTTCCACATTACTAAAAAAAAAAGTGTCAGTTTTTTTTTATAGCAATTAAGCTCTTGGGTGGTAGGTTTTATTCTAAAGTTGATCTTTAGGAAATATCTTTCTAAACTTGTGGTTTTTTATTGGCCTACTCAAAAATCCTACCAGGCAGAAAATGAAAGTTCCCTTCAATAGCATGTTACCTTTACCACTAAGTAGTATTTCTTCCTTCTGCCTTGCATTACTGTTTATTATTCATATATCTTTCTTTCCTGTAATAAAAGAAGATACTATCTTATTCATCTTTTTTTTCTGTCTCGTACCTGCCATAATCCTCAGCAGATGTTTAACTGAATTCATGTCAAATTCAAGAATAGAGTAAGAATAGAACAGGTAAGACAAAACATAGAGTAAGAGAAGATAAAAGAAGATATCCAACTCTGTTTCAATGTGTTTAGTTTGAATGATTACTTTAAAATATTTTTTATTTTTATATTTGCTTTCATTTCTCAAGTAAAGCGATTTTCAAAACAGTTATACTTGTATAATTGATAGTTACAAATCTGTAAAATGCATGCACTGAAATTTAAACTATATGACATTACTTTTGGGTAACGACTGAAGACATAATCTGTACGATGAGTGCTATATGAATTGTGATGGAACATATCTGGAAATAGAATTTCAGAAGCTAGGAAAAAAACAATTGTAACATCCACTCCAGAAGTAACTAAATCAAATAGGAGCAATGGATGTTAATAGGGAAAAGTTGCTATTCAGTAAAAAGAGGTCTTTCTCACATTTAGAGCAGCCCACAATGGAATGGATCACCAGAAATGTTCATTTTTATTGCAGAAATCATTCTCTCTATATAGAACATACATTATATTATCAAGTAAATTGTGGGAAATTATCTTAATTAGTAGAGGTACATCATAAATCCTCAACATCCATTTTACTCCTTCCAGGACACCAAAATTGAACTCCAGAAGCCTAATCCAATATGAATCACTTATGTGTTGCTGTTGTGTGGGGCAGACAGGTGGACAGTGATTCATCAAAATTTTCATGGCAGCAAATAATTCAAAGTAGGTCAAGACCTAACCTGAGCAATCAAATTGGAGGGAAGGATGTTGTTCAGTAATTGGGAGAAAGAAGCTCTTCTGTCTGCCCCCCACCTGGATGCCTGGATGTAAAAGCCTATAGCACTAAGTCAACCTGGCAACCTTCTTAGGACCACAAAGGATAGTAGCTATAGCGGCAAATAAAATCATGAGTCTAGGAGGCAGAGTCTAGAGGCAGAGCAGACATACAGAAAAACTCTGGGTCCTTGATGACATAATTGAGACTCAGACAACCAAATCCTAAAGCCCACATTAATGAATATGTTTTACTGGCCATACTGCTCTACTCCCCAACTTTCCCCATCCTATTTCCATGCTTGGGAGGCTCCCCTAGCTATTGGCTTCCTTTGGGTTTGATTAGTTACACACATCAGCAGGAAATTAAAGGACAGGAAGCAAATGAAGTTGGGGGGACCCTGGCTTCACCCTTCAGGCCAATACACTATATTTTTTTACTGAAGACCATACTCTGGTCAGG